CTGCGTACAATAGCACATGCATATTGCCCCGCCTATTAGGCATAAAAACATGCACGTGTGCCTCGGGCCCAGGAAAGAGCAGATAGCCGGCCACAGAGACGCCCGAGAGCACAGCCACGGGGCCACAGGGCAAACCAGCGCGCCCTGCTAGATGCTTTCCAAAAAAGCAAGATACTGGGGTTCGAACCCAAGACCAACATGCCCAGGTGAACTCAAACGACCAGGTATAACTTGAATCACTGGGTTATTGGTGTGTCCAAAAGCCCAATGTAAACCAAGTGTACGTTACATTGCGGACAAGGGTGTACATGCACATTGTGGCCCAGGCTAATGTACACTACACCATGGATCATTCTAGCGTGCTCGTCTGGCAATTACATATGATGTACATGGGCGGGAAGGCAGAGTTGGGGACCTGTTTCAAAGGGCGCACTACTTACAGGTTGCATTTCTATGGACGGCGGCATCAGTCGACCGCTCACCTCGACGACTAACTACGCGGTCATCCAGCGAAGCGATCGACCTCCTCCGAAAGGCTTTGAACCGCCCGCTCCAGCCCATCCAGGCCAGCCTTGAGGCTGTCAATCGCGCTCCTCAGCTCGGCGTCTGCGAAGCCCGCGACATCAGTAGCAGTGGTTGTGACTGCAGGGGTGGAGGTCAGTAACGGCGAGCCCTGATCCATTCGACCGCGCGCATGCGTACGTGACACACCTGAGCTTGTGCTGCCCCCGTCTGTCTCGTCTTCCCGCTAGAGTTCGTGCTCGACCGTCTCTTCTTCCTGCTCGTCCCCTTCGCTGGTGCTCAGCGTCCCATGGTCATCGTCGCCTGCAATCCGGGTGGCGACTTGAGCCTCAGCTAGGCTGATGAGGTCGGGCAATAGCAGGCTTGGAAGAACGTACCCGCTAGGGGTGCTCATCGGAGCGGGCGCCGTGCGCACGTCTTGGGTTCCCAGGGCAGCCGGCGTACGGATGGTCGACATCGGGTAGGGCGTGGCGCGCGAGAACTGCCAAAGTTGTGCGGGGGTCAACGCGTCGGCGCGCTCGGTCAATGACAAGATCCTGGGCCTCTGGGGTGCGGCAGACGTCGGGGGTGGGGCGCGCGCGGGTGCAGCTGTGCGCATAGCAGCGCGAGGAGGTGGGACGGGCTGGATTCGGAGCTGCGGTCGTCGGCGCGGCCGCGGGGGAACGTACCGCGCCCCCTCGTCATTGGTCTGGGTGATGGTAGGGGGACAATTCAGTTTGCGGCGTCGAGCGAGCCAGAGTTCAAGTTAATTCGTCGATCTCTACCAGCAGCTTTAAAGCAATATCAGCCATCGCAGCACGAGAGGACGCACGTACCCAATACGGAGCCCGCTCTCCTCCTTACGCCCTACTCTCGCGCCATGGCGCGCCTCGTGTGTGCTGCAGCGGCGTGAAACTCGAAGTCGATTGCCTGAACCGGCAAATTGGCTGTCGTGGGGGCAGCAGGGCCACCTGAGCGCTGTGAAGTACATGACTCGGCGTGCAGCGGAGGGCAGTCGTCCCAAAGAGGTGTGTGCATGGTGGTGGACAAGGGGGGAAGGGCGAGAGGCGCGACCCGACGACGCGTGGTGGCGTGTTGGTCATCAGACGCTCAGCTCCGGGCGCTCTGCGTAGGAGTTTCTTCCCTGGCACGAGTTTCTTCTCGTATCGTTAGAGTTTCGTCTCGGTCTCCTATCGTTCAGACACAACCTACGGATCAACTTCATGACTCATCGGCACTAACTTGGCGCCTCGCACCGGGGCAGAGTTGCATCTCCCGCTGGTATATTATGCCAGTGAGATGTTCATCGGATTGTACTAGATGGCTCATCTCCATGCGTACTGATAACACCAACGCGTATTAGTGCGCAATGCTTCCCTTCATGCGCAGGCAGTCACGTCGATGTCACAGGACAAGGACGTGGAGGAAAACCGAGAGCGCGTGAAGCGGCTGCAGTCAAGGAAGCTACGACAAGGGGTTGTCCGGAAGCGGACAGACTGCGGATGACCATGTTCCCGGAAAAGAGCGAATCGGCGCCTACATCGAGAGTTCATACGGAGCTCTCCGGACTCGATCGTAGACGCGCACTCGGGAGACCGGTCCGGAAATCAGTTTGTATACTGAACGCTTGAACGTCTGCCGCGTAGTATTCCACGATCACTGCCGTTTGTTACATGTCTCCGGCGGCGACGGTGTCGCTCACTACATGTTCAGAAGAACGCGCACTAGGAAAACACAGATTCGGGATCAGTTATAGCGTGTGGTAAACAGATCGTGTTCGAAAGCTCACGATTGAGTCTTACAATGCGACGACGACGATGTCGTAAACGATGGGTCCTTCTGAAGCGCACTAGGTAGTTTCTAGAGCCGTTAGTACTGCAATTGAATGCCAATTAAATGTGCACAGTAAGACGTTCTGCTGTGGCTGCATACTTATGCTTGTTTGTACTGGGCGACTGTAACGGGTCTTCGTCTTGCGACCGCCACATGAGCTCTCCCAGACCCATTCATCTTGGCTATGGATCACCTCGCAGTGCAGACGCCTATCCCGCAAGACGCTTGGCGGGTTGTGGGGACGGTGCTGGGGTCATACCGGGAGAACAGGAGAGAAGTCGAGGTCACTTGGGAAGAACTGGTCCAGGTGCGTATCGCCGTTCCCGCAGTCGTGCATTGGACTGCAGCTTCATAGGTCTTCGAGCACTGGGGCTACACTGCCCGTCCTGCGACGGGGGCTACGTTCAAATTCAAGCCTCGGCCGGGAACGCGGTGGCCCTTCCCGAGCGAGAGCCCGCGGAAGGAGTTCTCATTCCATCGCGTAAGTCTTCGATTCGTCGCTGGGACCTATCACTGATGTCAACAGCCGCATGGACGGGTCATACCGAAGAAATACTACCCGACGTACCGGTCTATACTTCAGAGGACGTTGGGGTGGGATGCGAATACGTTCAAAGTTGAGTCGGAGGAGGAGGAGATACAACGGCGCCTCGTGGAAGAGCGTATGCGCCGGGAAGAGGAGGAGCGGAATCGTCGCGAGGCGCAGGAGAAGCAGGAGAAAGGCAAGAAGAGAGGGAGGGTTGGGCGACGGAACCGTCACTGAGCGTCTTCTATTCTCATGGTATATGTAATGGCGTGTCTCACCCTATGCTGCGTGATGTATCGTTTGCGATTGTTGCCGTGTATATCGAATATGTGCCATCCTCGGGTGCGACGCAATCCTGTACTTGGGATCTCAGTATGCATACACCGTGTTATACCTGTAACCTAAAATATATCTTTAGCAGACAGCGTACCTTGTATTATCAAGCGACACGTAGGCCGATTGCTCATGCGGGCAATACGTTGGTAGGAAAACCCCGGTTTCTCAGAATGCTGCAGGACGGAGTGCTAAGAAAACACGTTAGGAGCACTGACGTAGCTGTTGTCTCGACTGGACATCACGGTCACAGTCACACGGACAGCGTTTAGTGCCCGACGGCGCCGTCCAATCCATCATGATACCTGGAGCTCGGGGTCGGTACCGCCTAGATTTGTCGTGTTTCGCGCGTTTGTAGGCATGGTCGGGATTGGGCCATCTGCTAATTGGAGGTGCATGTCAATGACATCGTCACGTACGCCGTCGAGGGCGACTGAGGACATAATGGCATTTCAGTGATGCGTCAGCGTTGCCAACCGCAGGAGGACGCAAACAGGGTGGAAGTACGTACTCCAGTCGCGTAGATAGCCCTGTCGCAGACGTCCAAAGTACCGCAGCGACATCAGATGTATGATTGGACCCATGGCAGTAGTCCGTACCTGCGCTACATGGTCCTTGAGAGGTTAGATGTGTTGTGCAGTACCTCTTTCAGTACAGGGATCCTAGAAGCGTGCGACGCGTCGACGTAGTATCGCGGGCTTTGCGTTAGCTGAGCGTGGCCGCAGACGTTAGCCAACGGTTGGAGGCAACGGAAAGAGGCGAGTCTTGGATTCAAAGTGCTTGGTACCGTTCTTCCAAGGACTGAGATGCTGTTAGATTGCTATGTGGTATAGCGACAAGACGAGTGTAGTCTTGGACGTCGTCCTATCGTAGACCCGAAACCTGCGATTCAGCTGGCGGGGAAAGCATGCGTAGCCGGCGCCACACAATGCGCATTGGTTACAGGCGTGCGCGTGAAGACCGATACTTATTAGAGTGTATTTGCACGGTGATTTATCGAGGTGGCGCTGGTGAAAACGGTGCGCCACCGGATGTAAACCGTGGCGGATTAGGGCCGCTCAATTCTTGAGGACGCAGGACGCAGGACGCACTCAGAGCTCATTTGATGGATGTGATGGGCTAGCCGAACCTGCCGCATATGGCAAGGTACCAACCTCATTTCTCGTGCCCGTTGTTTTCCAAGGGGTCTGTCGTGTCCCAAACCTCGCAGAAAAATATGAATCGCAAGTATGTTGAGGACGAAAGCTTTCCGCGTCGATTGACACTACCCTCGAGGCACTTTGTGAAGGGGGAGGAGTGTCATCGTCGCGCGAGGGGTTTCGAAGGCAAGCTTGTCGGCTAGTCTCGCTTAGCCCATCACCTCCATCAATGGCCTCTGAACGCGTCCTGCGTCCTGCGTCCTCAAGAATTGAGCGGCCCCATTCCTCACCGTACGGCCGCTAGCGCCGGCCCCACCTGGTGAGAACTCAATGGGGGCGGATAATGAAAACGCTGATAATTATCTGTGCAAATTACTTCTATTATCTCATGGCATTCCGAGTCGGACGTCACGTGGTATGCCGCACTACACGTGTTACATTCCCGCGACTACGCCTCATCCGCAGTCAATTGTGTAAATCGGGGCTGCACTCGAGCTTGTCCACTTCATGTCCAATTCCTGATCCATATCTAACGTCGGCGCAGGTATGCAGTAGTCTACACGGAAAATGAGGCACTCATCATGGGCAGCGTCACCCACAGGGGCAACACGGTCACGCAATGCAAGCAGGATACAGGATCCATTCGACTGATGCGAAGGTACATGTACCTTGGGAGTACGGGTACTGTGATTCGGAGATCCACGGCGTCCGAGTCTCATACCGCCGCGGCCACGAGTTGAGACAGACCACTCTTGACGTACCTCTGTTACTCACCGCAGTCAATATTTGGATGTATACGCACAAGGGCCGGCCGTTCGTGTGTGAAGGGACCACAGTCGCTACAAGGCGACCGCGAGCGTCCTTCGCAGAAATGCTCGACGAAACATGAGGAGCGGAGTCCAAGAGGTGTGTGCTATAGTCAGACGTCGACAGCGTGAAGCTTGAAGAGCCCAAGCTTGGGACGGTGTATGTCCGCACGGAAATCTAATAAGAGACATGCGGGCTGGAGGCAGGGGATAGGAGCACAAACGGCGCGTCCTCGTCATGCACGCTGCCCGCAAACGGGTCCTCGACCTGCGGGATGTCAACTGGTACCAAGACGGCAGGGCAGCAGAGAGGGACGGTGTCAGCGCTTATGCCATACGCTCTGCAGGTATGGGCCGCATAAATACATAGCGGGCATTGGCACGAGGACGTACTTTGGTGAGTACCAGTGTCGTGAACGAGCACGTCCTACCTGCTGACTTTTCCGTGTTCCATAGGCGGTCCCCCAAGGCGAGAGTCTAACCCCCTTCCGCGTACAGCTACCGACGGCTTGGCTGCCCGATCTCGCGACCCAGGAGCTCCTGCCCGAGCCGTACTTCACGTACGCGCACCTGGTGTTCCCGATCCTCCACGATCGCACCGTCATGGACGACTTCCGCAACGGCAAGATGTCCGCGTCCTCGCCCTTACTCAGACGCCGCGTCCCCCATTTTCACGTCATCCCTGCACAGGCTGTGGAGGTGACGCATGCCGACCCTCCTCCTGCTCGCGATGTTCTCCCTCGCAGCACGCTACTCCCCGCACGCCACGGCGCCCCACCAGACGACGGCTCGATGCAACCGCTGGCGACAAGTGTATGGAGGACGCTACGCGGATCCTCGCCCGCACTTATACCGTGTTGCGGCCTAGCACCTGCCACACGATCCTTTTCCTCGGCTACCCCACAACGCGTTCCTACAGCCGTGGTCATCTCCGAGCTCCAGGTGCTTGTGCTGCGCCATGCGTTCGCGTTGCCCTCGCGCTCATCGCTTCTGCGTCCCCCATTGTGAAGCCCGGTACTGGCATTCGCATCTCCAATCCAGAAGCGTGACTCTGACAAGCGAGGACGGCACCTTCAACGCCTCAAAGGTGGCTCGTGAACTCGTCCACGTTCAGCAGTGCGTCTGTTCCTAGCGTAGATTCCTCTGTATGTCGATGCTGACTGCGCATGGTCTCCCGCTTACACAGCAAGCACCGCCAGAACCTCATGAACCTCAAGAACAACGTCGGCATAACTTGAGGCGTTGAGCAAGGATGCTCTGATCAAGCCTCTTGCGACGATCCCTGTGCACGTCAGGCGTGGTGGAGTCCACCTCGCCGACCAGGAGAACGACCTTCTCTGGACCGGCGAGATCACCATCCGGCACGGACGACTAGAAGTTTGTCATCGGCTTCAATACAGGCTCGTCCGACCTCTGGGTTCCGTCCACCTCGTGCGACTCGTGCGGCTCGCACAACAAGTACGATCTGTCGACCTCCGGCAAGGAGAGCAGTTCGTTCTCGATCAGCTACGGCGATGGGTCTACCGCCTCTGGCAATCCCTACACTGATACCGGTACGTTCTCTGACATCGATCACGTCAGCGTTGTACCATTCAAGTTCTCATACTCACCCCACAGCCCGCTGTCGGTGGCGACAAGGTCATTGGCCAAGACCTCGCTGCTGGGACTCAAGAGTCCCCCAGTCGGACCACTCGGACGGTCTCCTTGGCCTCGCACCGCCGTGTTGCAAAGGACGGCAAAGGAGGGCCGCTTTGGCTTCAAGCTCACCTCCTCCGACTCCGAACCCTACATCGGTGGCACGAACTCGGACCTCTACAAGGGCGACGAGAACACGCGTTCTTTGTCGACGACAACGGCGTCGGTTTCGCCGAGCTCGTTTGAAAACGCGCCTCATGATAGCTACTTGCAGCCGAACCCATTTACGCAGAGCGTCGTGCGCATTGTCTACAGCGTATTATCATTCGCACCATACCCCAATCGCTATCTTTATTCACTTCTAGCCGCTCGATCCCTTGTGTGTTGTGCATGACATACATGCCCGTGGATCGCGCCACAAAGTATGTTCTGATGACATTGTCAACAAGCCTTTGCGAGCTGTCTGCGCTGCACGCCGCCGGCTGGTTTGACATCAGCAAAAGTGCGAAATGATTTTCCGTGATATCTCGTTCTTCCGGCGTGCAGTGCTCAGCGCTAGAAAGGCAAAGTTGATTTTGCGCGGCATGAGTCATAAGTGTAGATAACTCCTCCCCAGTGTAGCACTCAAGATAGTCGTCGTAGAACTCCATCATACGCGCACCTGCACCAGCCTGAGAAGGCGTGGGGCCGTTGCGGCCAGTGGGAGAGCCGCCCTTGCGAATGCTCAGGCCATAAGTGGGGCTGTTAAGACCTGGGTGCCGGCGTTGCGACCTGCTCCTGCGGACGTTGCGCTGCGCATGAGCGAGGGTCAGCCGAGGCGGTAGTGGAAAGCTCTGGGGGGGTTGGCCTTCGGGTCGTCGCCCTCTGCAGGCTCCGCACGGGTGGGTTCGTGAAGGACAGCGCGTTTCTCGTGAGGAGAGTTCGAATGGTGTACGCACTGAGTACACTCACAGACGACGACGCCGCTATCGTAGCCCGGTAGAGGTTCGACGTCGGCCCAACCATCGAGGAAGACGTTCGTGGGGCTCAGCCGCACGATAGCCATAAACTCAGCGAACAGATTGTTCGTCGACTCGGCCTCAACGAGCTTCAGCATCAAATTCTGCAGGGGACGCGTCGGATTGAGGATCTTACCATCGAGATTACGGTGAGCCCTCGTCACGAATGTGGAAAGCGTCATCAGTCATGCCGTGCTCCTCCATTGCCTTCTCCCGACGAGCATCTTCCATGACCACCGTGTGTAAGAGGACCCCCGCGTAGTAGAGCCTGAACTTGAGCCCGAGCTGCTCACAATTGATGAAGGGGTTCCTGCGGGTATAGGGGAGAGCGGATAAGTCGTTGTAGGCAAGGAGTTTGATTCACCGCACTCAGAGAAGTATCGCGACTCCGCCGGTGCCGCACACGCACTTGCAGGGGAACTGAGGAGAGTGCAGGAGAAGAATGGTGGCGGCGAAGACTTTTACACGCAACTTTTCTTTGAGGATGCGTGTGGAAAATGCAACACGGAGTACCTGCAAGGGCAAAGGGTGACTATATGCGCCTATATATGCAACACAGAAGATGAATACATGCCTACCAATGTGAAAGGCACCTTTGGTTGTTGTGTGCTGTGATATGCCTGAACAAGGAAAGCGGGTCAAACTCACCGAGGAGCGTCACGGTACTGTTAACCCTATCAAGGTCTGTGGGCTTGGGCTTCTCGGCAAGGACAACGCATGTGCCAGTGAGAGGGGGGAAGACGGTTGTCTGCAGACGATGATAGTATAGGGGCAGGATAGGAACTTAAGGAGACGATGACCATCCGAGAGCTTCAATTAAAGCTGTTACGACACGACGATTTATCGTGTTTGCCTAGGAAGAGTAGAACAAAGCGATATAAGGCTTGGAGAAGCGAGAGCCTGTCCGAACATGGGAAATGACGATCTGGGGCGCCAAATCGTAATGACCTCATCAGTCATCACAGCGTGCGGATTCCCACGACATTAGAGTGTATTTGCACAGATAATTATCAGCGTTTTCATTACAGTCTTTAACCAGTCCTTCGGACACCATGGGTCCCTCGGACGCTCCCTCAATCCTGCGTCCCCTTCGGCTCCCTCTTCAATTCTGTGTATCTCAATGTCATCCTATGGCATATAGTACACTATTTATTGATTTTCGTGTGCTCGCGTGGTCTATACCAGAATATAAATCAACATCTCCACCTAAAATCTGCCATTTTGGGGTTGTTTTGGCTTTTGTGAGCGATGTCGTTGTTGCAGTCTCTACAGATTGACACATCAGGAAAACGTCACGGACTTGTACAGGTACTTGGGGTACTTGGCCAAGTACCTCAAGTATCCCAAGTACCTCAAGTACCCCAAGTCCAATGGACTTGGCCAAGTCGGGTGGGTCGACTTGGCCAAGTACCAGGTACTTGGTCAAGTCCTCCAAGTCCCTGTTCAAGTTCATGCCCAAGTTCACTGTGAGATGTATCGAATAAAGATGATAGGCATGGAAGTAATCAAAGGACAGCTGCTCTTGATCAAGGTCAAGCGTACAATATTTGTTAGTGGGTGCAGCGGCGGCAAAAAAAAATGCCACCACAGGGAATTGAACCAGCAACCTACAGGTTCAGTGTCGGACCCAGCATGCTCAACCACTACACCGCATAAGCTCACACTGTAGCACAGGATAGCAGCCATATATTGCGCTCTTTGCTGGACTCTGAGAAATTCTTCACCATCCTCTCCTGTACCATAGCAGAACTTGGACATCCACCACTGATACCACTATTCTTGGGCATTATCTGGATATTGTACCTCTGTATCACTACTGAAACAAGCACATTGTAACAACTTGAAGTCTTCTATCACATGTTATTGCCCTTCTTCTAATAGACTATAAAGCTGATTCTATGGACTTAAAACAGACTGGTTTACAACTAGTGTATGGATGTCTATGATAGATATTATTACATAAGAAGTATACAAGATGTGTGACTGATAGAACACCAATTGCTCAAGTTGAGGCCTGAGTATACTGAAGTCAACATATAAAGTCCAAGTTGTGGCCCAAGTACCCCAAGTACCCCAAGTATATAGACTTGGGCCAAGTACATGGACTTGGGGCCAAGTACACGGACTTGAGTCCAAGTACATGAACTTGGGCCCAAGTATGGGTCCAAGTCCGTGACGTTTTCCTGATGCATGGTATGTCAATGGGTGTCTTACATCGACACCGCTGTGATTTATATACTTATCGTGCTTAGAATGCGTTGAACTTGGACTTATCCGGTCCGGACTACACGAGGCTATGCGTCTCCTAGCGCTTAGCTGTAGTCGCTTATGTAGTATGTTACCATATTTGGGACTCTCTGCTCGTGTACTATAGCTATGCTTCCGGACTCTTCTGGTACTGTCTAGGACAATCCGTACTACTCCAGAACGGTCTAGACAGGTCTATGCCTTACTCATCTCTTACTCATCCTATGGTGCGATACGTCGCAATTCTTTCGTCGTTGTATTATTCATCGCACTATGGTACATGTGACTAACCA